CCCCAAAACCCCAAAACCCCAAAACCCCAAAACCCCAAAACCCCGATTATAGAGACTAATATTGGACGTGTAATTATTTCATCGATAATTATGGAGTCAGTCTCTTTGGATCTCTTGGGAACATAGAGCATTTTCTGATGTTGTGGATTCCAAGGAAAAGCTTCAAGACTCTTTCTAAACCGATACCACCTCCAGCATGTGGGTAAGCTCCGTACTGGAAGCAGTTGATGTAATCCTGGATCGTCTCTGGTGGGACTTCCTTAGCAATAGCTCTTTCGGTCAGCATCTCTGGGTCGTGGATCCTTTGAGCTCCGGACATAATCTCTTGTCCTCTCATGAAGAAGTCATATGAGTGAGTGTACTCAGGATCATCAGGGTTAAGCATAGTATAGAATGGTCTAGCTTCGATTGGGTAGTTGTAGACAACAAAGAAGTCAGTTCCATATTTCTCCTTAACGATCTTTCCAAGAGCTTCTTCATTTTCAGTTTCGAGATCCTTATGGGGGTTTTGCTCATATCCTGCCTCCTTCAAGATGTCGCAAGCTTCTACAAACTTGAACTTTGGTACTTCCTTCTTGAAGACGAAGTCTTCGAATGGATATTGAGTTCTAACAGCCTCTATTTCTTTGCTGTAAGTCTTGTTAAGATTCTCAAAAATGTAACCAAAGAGCTCGCAAATAGTATCAACAACCTCAAAATAGTGCTCGTAGAAAGCCATTTCGAGATCAAGTCCGGTGAACTCACAGAGATGTCTTGGAGTGAAGGATTTTTCAGCTCTGAATACTGGCCCAATTTCAAAGACTCTCTCTAAATCACAGGTGACTCCCATCTGCTTATAAAGCTGAGGAGATTGAGCAAGGCATGCTTCAGTACCGAAGTAGTCAGTCTTGAATACCTCTGCTCCTCCTTCAGATGTGCCTCCAATAAGTTTTGGAGTATGAATTTCAGTGAAGTCTCTTTCAAGCAGAAATTCTCTGAAGTATCTGCAGATTCCGGATCCAACCCTGAGGATACCTTGGTTGGCTGGGACTCTAAGATCCAAAATTCTGTTGTTCAGTCTGGTGTTTTGTCCAACTATGATATAAGGAAAACTCTAAGAGGGATTAACTTACCAATGATAGTCTTCTTCTTGCCTCTTTCTTCTTTGGTTTCTTCTTCCTTGTGGTCTTCATCTTCAAGTTTTTGGTTTAGAACAACATTAGCAGCATCATCCAAGTTAATTGGTAGTCTTGGAACAGATTTGTGATGATTCCAGATTTCCTGAATATGGATTTCTACTTGTTGGGTACACTTCTTGATAGGATTCTCTGGGACATGAACAATACCAGTAATAATGACAAGAGATTCCTTTGGGATTCTTCTAGCATATTCACACATTCCCGAGCTGACACCATCATTTTGGAAAAGGCAAGCCTGGAGGGTGCTGAAGCTTTCTCTGAGGATGATAAAGATAGCACCACCTGATATATTAAGTTAATAGTATCTTACCCTTTCCTGTTACTCTGTGTACCCTCGCTCTGATAGTAACCACCTGATCTTTAAGCTCTTCAGTGATATTTTTGACTCTCTTATATTTGTCATATCTAAAACAATCAAATCTTATGAACGTACACAGACTTTCCTTCTTCTGGAAGGACAGTTGACCTGCACAATTCGAGATCACCGAATTTGTCTGCACATGGATCGTTTGGATCCTTAACATATCTAAATCATAAACTATCATTAACTTACTCTCCGAGATCTTCATCTTCTTTCTTCTTAGACTTAGCTTGCTCAGCTTCAACTCTCTTCTTGGCTAAAGTACAAGTTAGGCATTGAAAACCTCAATAGATTTGGGATAAAGTTCGCAAGTATCTAAGCAATTTAGGCAATATCTTTAGAATAGAATCCAGAAATCTCTCTCGTAGCCCTCCAGTTTGGATTCCTTACTCTCTTCCTTCCTCTTTTCTTTTTCTAACTTCTTCATAAGTTTTTTGTAAGCCTTCCTGCTCATCATTTGGCCGTCTGGGCCTTCAACCATGTTTTCTTCTTTTGGTGCATCTTGAGCTATAGTTCATATTAGTCTTTTTCATGTGATAAGGATTTATCAAGAGTGATGAGAAGTTCATTTCCTCGTCTTGGCTAACTCAGAATTATGTGGATGTCATACCTTGACTCTTAGGCTTTTCTTCAGTAGGTTTATCTCCTTCCATATCCAATAATTAAATTATATAAGACACGATCAATAAGCCACTATTTATCAGGGGTTTTGGGGTTTTGGGGTTTTGGGGTTTTGGGGTTTTGGGGTTTTGGGG